AAAAATGTCTAGCTTCTCTTTTTCATTTGTGAAATTTTCATATTTACGTCTTCTCAAGATTCCTTGGATTAATTTCAGCAAATCTTGCCATAAATAATCTTGATTATCATTACAAATTAACTTTAAAACTACAGCAAAGCCAAAAATAGTCAAAATTAAATACATATGCATTATGGAAGAGCATTTTTCTGGTAATATAGATTCAAATTACTAATAGTTCAAACCATGACCTCCAGAGCTACAGCAGGGCCACATTGGATGATCAAAAGTTTAACATGGTAATATATAGGAAGATAAAACATCCTTGATCAAAAGTTTAACATGGTAATATATAGGAAGATAAAACATCCTTGATATATGTAGATTGCAGTTTGCTTAAATTCCCCTCCCTTTTTGCTCTGGAAGGGGGAGACTAGAACTCTTACTTTTACATCTTTTCAATACTAAACTAATTCTGCTTTTCTCTTATCAAAGTGCTCAGGTGAGCAATGTGGCCAAGAGGTCTCTTGTTGTCTTATGTCTTGGCTAGCTGCTAACAACTTCTCTAGTATAAAGTCTTACTAAGACATTGAGAAGAAAAGGGGAAAAACAGAAAAAAAAATTCTTGTCTATAATCTATCTGCTGAGATATCAGGTGAGTTCAGCAGTAAATTAGTAGGGCTGGGACGATACAACTTTTTCTATATCGATACGTATCACGATATTTGAGCCACGATACGATATGTATCACGATATGTTTAATTGCTTAGGGCTATTCCAGAAAAAAATGTATGGGAGGGTTGGAAGGCACTTCATATATTTTTGTATGGGTAATGGGGACTGGAGCAATTAAATTTGTATGGGTGGTTGTCCTCATCAGTTTTATTTTTAGATGGGTGGTTGCACTTTTTTATTTATTAAAAAAAACCTATCCTCCTAAACAGTTATAAAATGTGTTTAACATTTAACCCACTATTACAATTAATTCATTTAAAATGAATTTAAAAATATATATTTCAGAAACAATAGACTGTAGTTGTTAGGTGGGATTTAGACTATTTTTCACATTTCCACTAAATAGTTAATGCCCTACATAACTTAAGTGCCCCCCCCCCCTAACCCCTCCAAAAAAAAAAAAGAAAAAAAAATCAGAATTTTTTGTTGTGAAGGAGATATAAACAGGGACCTATATACTAAGTATACTTGTATATAGTTCCATGGTATAAACAACATAAGGATACTATAATTCACAATAAATATTTTAATTATAATAGGAATATCATTTCTACTAGTTAACATGTATTAGTTTTACTCGAACTTTACAGATTACAAAGTCAAGCATCAGAACAGATAAATACAAATCATTATTTATAGGGCTTTCAGTGATATGTATGACAGACCTAAAGGGGTACATTTTTTAACCTAAATGCTATAGTAGGAACCCTGTGATCTGTTTAAAAAAAGAACTTTGGACTTGAACTAAAAAATTTTAGTTGATTGTAAAGTCTTTAAAAAACTTTTGCTTCCGTTAAAATTTATTTGCATAAAAATATCTTTCTAAATTCTTTTCAAAAAGATTAAATCGTTTTCAAAGTAATGAAAAAAAGAAAGTTTTGTGCAAAATATTTAGATTTTCATCATATTTATTAAGTTTTCTCTTTTTCAACAAGGCCTTAGTTTGGATAGATCCCAAAAGCTAATAGTCTCAATTCAAATCGCATGAAGTCAAATGCTAGAAAAAAGTACCGGTACATAAAATTTTATTTTCATATAGATAACTTGGAACACAATTCTAAAAAAAATATTTTAAATTTAGATGGGTGGTTGTATTAAAATCATTTTTACTTTGATGGGTGGTGGGGGAGAAAGCAATTAAAAATGTATGGGTGGTGGGGTAAAAATAAAAGTGCCTTCCAACCCCCCCCATACATTTTTTTCTGGAATAGCCCTTATAAAATCCTTTTTTTGCATTGAAATAAACAAATTATTTCTTTGCAAATAAGAATAAATTATTCAAAATAGTTGTTAATATGTTGTAAAACAAAAATATCTTACTCAAGTGGTGTTAATTATTATTTATCTCATACCTATATTTATATTTAACTATTGTTATATATTAAACCCTAAATGTTAAATAAACAAAGAAAAACAGAAGTCAGATGTTTTTGGGCGATATTTCGATATTTTTTTAAACGTATTGATATGTGTATCATCCTCAAAGATATCACAATATATCGATATCTCGATATTTCGTCCCAGCCCTATAAATTAGTACAAACATAAATGTTATATTCTTGTATTTAAAATCAAATATGATGACAGAGAGTTGAAGCAGCTCTGACTTTCAGTATACACACATAACTTACCATGCATCTTAGAGTGAGTGAATTCACTGACTGGCCAGGAATAACCAGACAGTTCTGGGGACGTCAGTACTTGTTGTAAATAGACAATCACAGCATTATACAGGCTTATTATTGTGTTTGGGTCCTGTAAATATGTTAAAGGAAAATAAGAATTAATTGACATCATTCCAAAAAGACCTAAGAAACATTAAATTCTTTTTAAATAACACATTTTATCTCTCTTGCCTAAGCAAGTTTTCAGTTACTTCTTTCAATTTAATGCCCTGTTCACACGGAGAGTTTAATTCAAATTAAACGTAAAGTTACTGCGAATTAGCTTTGCCTAGCGTTCACACGGATAATTTAATGCGAATTAGTTTAATTCGAATTAATTTACTGCGCATTAAATTACTTCCCATTAGCTCCGTGTGAACACTAAGCGAAGCTAATTTGAATTAAATTTTGACGCATGCATAAGGCCAGAATTAAGTCACAGGACACGTGTTGGTGGTTATATGTAGGCATTTGTGCTATAATTGGTTCAAAAATTGAGGGAAAGTATGTTAATCACTAAAATCAATGAATACCTGTAGCCACTACATGATGTATCAAAGGATGGCTCTGCATATGTGACGTGATTTACAAATGACGTCATAATAGACTTACTGACGCCTGACTGTAGAAGAAAAATTTTAATTCGCATTAGTTTACTTCGCATTAGCTGTCGTGTGAACACAACTTAATTCGCATTAATTTGATTCACATTAGTTTACTTCGCATTAATTTCCTGTGAATTAAGGATACACCAAAGGTTTCCAAAGGGCAAAATTTAATTTGCTTGTAATTCTTTCATTAACAAAGATAACATATTAAAAGTATATATCGTTTGAAAGCTTATTAAATTCACTATTTAATCATGTTAATAATCCTAATTAAATTTTCAATTTTATCTTATTAAAAACTTATTAATATTTTAATGTAAATATTAGTGCATTTATATTTTATAAATCAACTTTTTTGTATTCCACCTCTCAAAGTCAAAATTTTGCCTCAATGTAGATTAAAGATTGAACTTTAAAACTGTATCTCAGATTTTTGATATATCTTCTTATTCAAAAGTTACATCCATTTGTCTTTCAATGTTACCAATTTATTAGCCTAATTCTACATTTCCCCCAATAATTCGAGAACTGAGCAAGATATAAACAAGAGATGTTTGTAAAACACTTATGCCCCCACCCCCTTCCCCACAAATTGGAATTTTTCTAAGTCCAAAAGGGCATAACTCTGTCAAAAATGGTGTAATTATACCCAAAACATAACTTGACCTAGATATTCGTCTGATTAATTTGAATACTAAATTCCATTTCAATTTGTGCAACTTCTCAAAAGAAAATGAACGGAAACTGCAAATAATAGGAATTTTTCTAAGTCCAAGGGGCATAACTCTGTCAATTACCGTGCGATCATACCCAAAACAGAACTTAACTTAGATATTCATCTGACTAATCTGTATACTAAATTCCATTTCAATATGTGCAACCTCTAAAAAGGAAATGAACAGAAACTGCAAAAATATGGAATTTTTCTAAGTCCAAGGGGCATAACTCTGTCAATTATGGTGCGATCGTACCCAAAACAGAACTTGACCTAGATATTCATCTGACTAATCTGTATACTAAATTCCATTTCAATATGTGCAACCTCTCAAAAGGAAATGAACGGAAACTGCAAAAATATGGAATTTTTCTAAGTCCAAGGGGCATAACTCTGTCAATTATGGTGCGATCGTACCCAAAACAGAACTTGGCCTAGATATTCATCTGACTAATCTGTATACTAAATTCCATTTCAATATGTGCAACCTCTCCAAAGAAAATGAACAGAAACTGCAAATAATTGGATTTTTTCTAAGTCCAAGGGGCATAACTCTGTCAATTATGGTGTGATCGTACCCAAAACAGAACTTGATCTAGATTTTCATCTGATATACCTGTATACCAAATTTCATTTCAGTATGTGCAATGGTTATGAAGAAAATGAACGGAAACTAAATGGACCGACAGACCGACCGACCGACCGACAGACAGCAGCAAAGCAATATGCCCTCCCTTCTTCGAAGGGGGGCATAAAAATCTGAGATACGGTTTTGTGAACACACATTTGAGACACATTCTGGCCAGTTTTCAGAGAAATTGGTCAATAAATAGGGAGCTGAATCCTTTCAAATAATACCACCAACTGTCAGATCTTACTTTACAGTAGAGGGCAAAAACCCATTACACAACAAAGTCTGCCAAAGCTGGAAATATATTACACCTTGGAGATTCAGCTTTGGATACCTGTCACTTATCTATATTTCCTATGCATATTCACAAGAATGGGAGGTTCTATTCTTTATTTAGGTGCTTTTAATGAAGTAAAATAGGTTCAATTCTGAATCAGAAAGATTTCCCGGCAAAATGGCAAGAGCTAAGCTCCACCTCCTATTTCATGGTCATTAGTGACCTGTTAGATCTCCTTCCCTAAATCTATAGTCCCTGTAGTTTAATTACTGATAACCTCTGTGTGGCTAGTGAAGAATTCCCCAAGTGGTCACAGTAATTTATTGCTCCTTTCAGAAGCAGGCAGTTACAGACCAAATCAGAAGCAGGCAGTTACAGACCAAATCAGAAGCAGGCAGTTACAGACCAAATCAGAAGCTTCAATAACGGCACATTCACATGTGTTAGTGTTTATGTTTGATTATTGTTAAATAATTAGAAAACCATTTAATAATCAGCAAGATTTTTCATGCATTATAAAGCAGTGATTAGCATTGTTTTCTTAGCCAAAAATCTCAAAATTGACAAAAATCTTGAAAAAAGCCTTTGGTGTATCCTTAAACTCATCGTGTGAACAGGGCATAAGAGTCAGATCAGAAAGGCTCAATTGAGCTTTCAGTTCAGATGATCGAGCTAAAAATGTAATTGTGTGTTTAGGAAGGGAAGGATACATTCAAAACATACAACAATGAATACAAAAGCTACATATTAGTATGCAGTTAATAGGCTGACCTGGTGTAGATATCCAGTGAGTTTTCTCTGTTTCAGGTTATACAACACTGGTCTGTAGAACTGCTCCTGTAGAAAGTCCTCCACCACAGTCCTACAATACTGGACCCTCAAACTGGGAGGATCAGGGGAGTGTTCTGTCAGCCATCTCACAATATCTGATAACTAGAGAACAAAACTTTACTGGGTACAGTGTACATTAACACCTTTAGGCCTCAGTTAATCTTTAAAGCATATATGCAATGAGAATAAATGCATTTCAGAGAATGGTCAGAACTACTGGCATCTGAACACTTACTTTTTCTGTGACCTCTGGTTCCTCAACATCCACACCTTGAGGAAAATCTTCATCATATTTCACAATACAGAGGGACAGGTCACTTATCTTCCCATCAGCAACCAGCTCATCAATATTCAGACATCTCATTATAAAGTCCTCATCTACATTTTCATGGGCTGGGACTGGACACAATACAACCAATGGGAGAGCAGGAGAGGTTGGCTTGCTCATCAGGAGATCGTCTAATCTTCTCTTCTCTTCTTCCCATAGAAGCTTAAGAACATTTAAAATACATGCATGGTCATAAAGCAAAAGATTTATTCATACATGTATGCATCACTGTGATGCAGAGTGAGTCAACATTTGACACATACACTGTACATCAACACTATCATGCCAATATATATACACAAGTTCAATTACTGGCAAATGCACAGAAAAATATGAAGTTCCCATCAGATTCACATCAAAATGAAATCCACTATTTAACATGTCTCAACAAAGAGTGTACTAAAATTACAAGCATCTGCGATGAGTAGTTACTGAGAAAACTGAGATGAAAATTTGTTATGTATGAAACAGACAGACACACAGACAAACAGGAAGTTGACATCGGATTTGAACAAAAATGTATTCCACCGTATTGCATGCATCAGAGAGGATAGTGTTAAAATTTGAAGCATCTGTATTGAGTAGTTGCTGAGAAAACTGCGACGAAAATTTGTTATGTATGAAACGAACAGACGCACAGACAAACCTGAAGTTGACATCCGATTTGAACAAAAATGTATCCCAACATATAGCATGCCTCAGAGAAGATTGTGTTATAATTACAAGCTTCTGCAATGAGTAGCTGCTGAGAAAACTGCGACGAAAAATTTTTATGTATGAAAAGGACAGACACACAGACAAACAGGAAGTTGACATCCGATTTGTACAAAAATGTATCCCTACGTATAGGATGCCTCAGAGAAGATTGTATTAAAATTTCAAGCTTCTGCAATGAATAGTTGCTGAGACTAGAAGTCTCTGTCGAGACTGAAGCTCTACTGGTTTGAACTTATAGCAAAGGAAGAGAAAAGTACTTAAGCAGCTGGGATTTGAAACTTTACAACAGCAATAAATAGAATAATGATCGTTGATAAAGTCTCTTTATGTTCTTAGTGTAGTCTACTTGTGTGCCAAGTTATACTGAAATCAGACCAAAACTGTAGGAGGAGTAGCATTTTGAAACAATTTTACAGACATTTCTATTTTTAGTAACCACGGCAACCCGTTCATCAAAATTAAAATTCAATATACAGAATCATGTATCTTAGTGTAGTCTACTTGTGTGCCAAGTTATACTGAAATCAGACCTTAACTGTAGGAGGAGAAGCATTTTGAAAGAATTTCACAGAAATTTCTATTTTTAGTAACCACGGCAACACCGTTCATTGAAATCAAAAACGGATACACAGAATTATGTATCTTAGTGTATTCTACTTGTTTGCCAAGTTATACTGAAATCAGACCAAAACTGTAGGAGGAGTAGCATTTTGAAAGAATTTCACAGAAATTTCTATTTTTAGTAACCAAGGCAACACCGTTCATCGAAATCAAAAACCGATACACAGAATTATGTATCTTAGTGTAGTCTACTTGTGTGCCAAGTTATACTGAAATCAGACCTTAACTGTAGGAGGAGTAGCATTTTGAAAGAATTTCACAGAAATTTCTATTTTTAGTAACCAAGGCAACACCGTTCATCGAAATCAAAAACCGATACATAGAATTATGTATCTTAGTGTATTCTACTTGTGTGCCAAATTATACTGAAATCAGACCAAAACTGTAGGAGGAGTAGCATTTTGAAAGAATTTCACAGAAATTTCTATTTTTAGTAACCACGGCAACACCGTTCGATGAAATCAAAAACCGATACACAGAATTATGTATCTTAGTGTAGTCTACTTGTGTGCCAAGTTATATTGAAATTAGACCAAAACTGTAGGAGGAGTAGCATTTTGAAAAATTGTTTACAGACAGACGGACAGACAGACAGACGGGCAGACGGACGGACGCCGGACGCATTACTATCGCATAAGCTCTTCTGGTCTCTGACCAGTAGAGCTAAAAACTGCGACGAAAATTTGTTACGGACAGACACACGGACAGACAGACGGACACACAAGGGTAAAACAGTATACCCCCCTCTCCTTCGGAACGGGGGTATAAAAAATATTAATCATATCCTGAAATTGCTTTAATTTCCACATTAAAAGATAAACATAAATACTAGAATCAAATGATTTGAAACAGAAAAAGTGCATTTAATTTTTACTTAAATGGAGAAACCTGAAATATAAAATCTTGATTTATCATGCCATATTGCAAATTTTTTCTTAAATATCAGAATACATTTCCATTTCTATTTGTTTTCAATGTGATAACTCTTTGAAATTTAGTAGAATTGACATATTGACCATTCTACTTGAATGTAAGTTTGGCCAAGCGATAGAGCAGAAGATAACACCTAAATTGCATATATATCTTGTGAGTCTGTCTTTGTGTCTGACACTAAGGAGGCTTATATGCTTGTAAATCTCGTGTGGATGTCTTTGTGTCTGATGCTAAGGAAGCCTAATATACATGAAAATCTTGAGATAGGCTTCTGAATTTACAATTTCCAACCATGGTTGATGTCCTAGCATACTCTACTAACTAGATAATCATGCACTTTTCACAACCCTAAAAATTGTTAGTAATATCTTGACCCTTGACCTTTATTAATCTATATAGAGAGGAAAATTTATGATGTTTTACAGCATTTTTCAGCAGAATAATTAACACATCTCTCTCTGGACTACTGACTTACCCACTCTGGATCTTCATTGAGGGGTGGAGGCATAACAAAAAGAAGACAAGAGGTTCCCAGAAGGGAGCCAGGTACATCAGAAATGGATATATTACCCTCCAGGAGCCTCACACAAACACCCAGACTGCCTGTCATTGATTCATGTGTAACTGGTACTGTATACAAACTCAGCAGTTCATTCTGTAATTGTTTAAAAAATGATATAATTAAATACTGTGATATTACAATTTTTCGTTAGAGGTTAAATACTGTTGTTTTTAAGGCTTGAAGAGACCCGTGAATTTATGACCACAACAATACTTAAAATTTCATATGCATAACTACTTAACATTCTCCAACCCTGAAATCGAATCCCCACAAACCAATATTTTTCAAACCCTGAAAATTTGACAGCACGAAAATATGTAATTTTACAAAAACAAATATCACGGACATTGAAATAATTTTCATCCGTAACATTTCTTATCTTTTTTTGTGAAACATTAGATTTTCTTGATGGACTAGCTGTTCTAAATACCTGTTGATTAAGTGGTTAGTTTTACCTGTACTGAGGAATGTTGGTGAGATTTAGGGGTCCCTCTTGAGAATTTGGCCTTCAGCCACTTAGTGAGATGACTGAGACTTTGACCTTGGTGGTCTGTCTGTATATAGTCTGGGTCAGGTAAAGAAATCACCACTTTCCAAAACACTTGGCTGCACTTGGCATTTTCTACAATAAAGTACATGTACATGCAATTTATTTCATAAGTTATTTTAACAAAGTTGTCTGGCTTCAATTTTTTTTTCATTCAGCTCTAATGATGACATACTTTTACAAGACACTCTATTTTTCTTCAACAGATGATGTCCACCAAGAGAACAAATGTCCAAAGGTTTCCAAGCCTTTTGTCGACACAGATTCCTGTAGATTTCATGAGCTGTCAGCACTTTGTCTTCCATCTCGGATCTCTTCACAAATATCACTGGGGACTCCACAGATAACTTTGTTGTCTGGTTCACATAGAATCCTCCCTCATCCAACCCCTCCACCCTTCTCTCTGGAATTAAGGCCTCTATCTGCTGTGCTGGCTCCATCATGGAGATTGAGGAAGGGAAGTCTAGTAAGGAGCGTTTAAACTTAATTCTAGCTGTATGCTGAGCTTTCCACATTCTGAGATAGCGCCCAGCTCTTTTGACCTTGACACAGTGTTCAAGGTCAGCTAACTGTTGAAGCCTTTCCACAACATCTTTCTGATAAACTTCTGATGATACAGATTGAGTCATGTCTTGGATGGAGGAGTTCAGAATGACATCTGCTATCTCTGCAGAACACCTCTGGATTCTTTGTCTCTTTAATTCTGCATGTACTTCCCTACGAACAGAGCAATTTCTTTATCAAATATACATGAAGATTAGAAGTTTATAATATAATAAGCATTTTTCCTAAAAATACAATGTACTTCAAAGTTTATTATGTTAACATAAGCAAGTATCTGGAAATTTCAGGTTGACATTTTTAATGCATGTTTACATGTTGGCTAAAATCTGAATTATTCTGCATCCTACCTGATTTCTGCAGTGGACAAATTCAATGTCTCCTGATCCAGGACTTCCTTCAGAATCTCACTGGTCAGATACACTGCTGACCGAGTTATCATGGCTTCTCTCTCAGCTTTCTGTTGTTTCTGTCTCAGTAGTTCTGCTTCTGCCTCAGCTTGCTTGGCCAGGGTCCTTAATAAAGTAGAATTAGGTTAATAAAACCAGATGTTGATCATTGAAAGTTCATGTCCAGGGAGACACTTCACTTTTTTTCCAATCTTCCTAAGTAACTTCCATAAAGCATATAAATACCATGAGTAAAATCTATATTAAGTACATGAAGGATAAAATATATTCCCTTGATTGGTTCATGTGGTTAGGAACTTGAGATTAACTATTCCATTCAGGATTTGATAGTGAAATATATTCTTAAACATGCATATATATCTATTTCTTTTCTCTGTATCTCACTATAAACTGTACAAAGTACATTATCTAACTGCAGTTTTATCTGATTTTGAATTCCATCTAAGCCAACTACTTGTATAAAAAATTTTTTAAATGACACTAGATGGTAAGTATTTTACTGACAAAAATAAGTACATAACTACACAGAAGAATAAAACAAGAGAGATAACTCTAAATGACACATGACAGGAAGTGTACCTGTATTTTAACCTAATATACAATCAGGTGATAAAGTAACACCCTAATTTCTGTTTTTGCAGAGACAGAGAGAATAAGACTTATAAAATATCAGCTGTTCCAAGGTACTGTTTCCTTTTCCTATAATTCATATGCAGTGATTAGCCATGGATTTATTTTTACCTGAAAGTTCTTTTTAGTGGTCCCCTAAAAAATTAAGACTTAATGAAAGAGACAAAGTCTGTTTCTGGATTTTTATATTTGCAGAGATAGAGAGAAGAATAAGACTATAGTTTCATTTTCAAGGTATTAATTTCTTTTTAAGAAATCGGGTAATTTACAGGAAATAATTAAGAACAATCTCTACACTGCACACTAAAAAGTTCTGATTCTATGGCATTTTTTTTTTTTGCAGTTTAAGTGATCTGTTCTTTGATTTGAATTCTAAAAAATAGAAATTCACATCTTATTACACAATTTGTAATCAATTTAAGTATTCTTAACATCTTAAAAGGCAAGGATAAATTAATTGAACATGCATATTATTTCCATGTACTTTCTCCATGGACGTAAACAACTGCAGTGATTTCTATTCATCGATACTCTCTTTATGTCCATTTAACATGTTAAAAAAGGTTTGAGATAGAGAATTTTCAAAGCAGTTCTTTTTTTACATGTTTAAAATTAAAAAAATTTATTTGACTTCTCCGTAACATTTATTTGATATCTGCTAATAATCTGTCAAGTTTTTCCAAGTACAATTAAAAGATTTATACACTGTATTACAAATTAAAGTATTTCGATTTCAAATTCAAATTTTATTATTATAATATTATTGTGTTAAAAATTATGAATAAATAAAGAAATCTATAATTTTTTAGATTCAAGGCAATCATGGACCCCCGCAAAAGTGCCCAGGATGTGAGCAGATGTGACCTTTGTAAGAAAGCAATAGCTCAGATGTACTGTGATGTCTGTCATATCAACCTTTGTACACCCTGTGTTGGAGAACACATTGCTGATGACTATAGCAAACATCAAATTGTCCCATTCATACAAAGGAAATCCACTTTGATCTATCCAAAGTGTGCAACACATCTAACCAAAACCTGTGAATTACAATGCAAAGAATGTGACATCCCTATTTGTGCTACATGCTCACTATCTGAAAATCATAAGAGACATCAATTATCAACCCTATTTGAAGTTTATAATTCAGAGACAAACCATTGAAAAAGATTTAGAGGAAATAGAAAACATAATTTTCCCAACATATGAAGAAATTGCCACTGGTACAGAAATCCAGATAGAAAACTTAGAAAGAGAATATGAGAAACTTACAACAGCAGTGAAAAACCATGGGGAAGAATGGCACAAAGAAATTGACAACATTGTCAACAAACTAACACCAGAAATTACACAGATGAAAATCAAACACAGGGATATTCTGAAGAAACATCTGGATGAAATCAAACAGATACAGTCAGTTATTGAACAAACATGGCTCAGTCTGAAAAAAGTGGAAGAATCAAATGAACTATCTAAGGTGATGGAGTATAAATCTGGAAGCAAAGAATTCAGCATACTCCCTCCAAAAGTTCTAGTATCACTGCCAATATTTAGCCCAAAGACAATAAATACTAAACAGCATTACAAGTTGTTTGGATCTTTGATACCATTATCCATAACATCAGAAGAAAATGGTTACAAACTGAAGAAACCAGAGACACCAACTAGTAGAGAACTCCTAGAAGAACCAGAACTTATCACGACTATAAATACTTGGTATGAAAAACTCCGCAGCGTCACCTGTATCAGTGAAGAAGAAATCTGGACAAGTGGAGAAGTCAGTGATATGAAATGCTTTAACATTCAAGGTTCACTTATAAAGATAATCAAAACAAAAACAGGAAAATGGCCAACTGATATAGCAGTGACAAATGATGGGGATTTAGTTTACCCTGATTGGGAAAGAAAGACTGTGAATAAAGTGAAGAATGGGCAGATGGAGGAGATGATCCAACTTCTGGACTGGACACCTTTTAATCTCTGTGTCACTTCCTCTGGGGATCTCTTGGTTACTATGGTCAGTGTTAGTAATCCCTTGGTTTCTATGTTCAGTAAACAACAATCCAAAGTTGTCCGTTACTCAGGCTCCACAGAGAAACAAACAATCCAGTTTGATGAGAAGGGTAAACCTCTGTATTCAGGATATAATTACACCAAGTACATCACTGAGAACAGAAACCTGGATATCTGTGTGGGTGACCATGGAGCTGGTGCTGTAGTGGTGGTCAAGCAGACTGGAAAACTCCGATTCAGATACACTGGTCATCCTTCTGCTACAAAGAGCGAACCATTTAAACCCCGGGGCATCACAACAGACAGCCAGAGTCAGATCCTGACAGCAGACCGTGATAACCACTGTATCCACATCCTAGACCAGGACGGACAGTTCCTCCGTTATATAGATAACTGTGATCTGAAGGATCCAATTGGCTTATGTGTGGACAAAATTGACAATCTGTTTGTGGCTGAGTACAAAGGAAATGTTAAAAAGATAAAATATTTTCTGTAATGTGACACCCCATGAAAATAATGATAGCTAATAGAGTCGGGTATTGTGAGTGAAAATCATATTGCAATTACATGTATCTTACTTTGAATATTGCAATATATTGTAGATTACTTATCATTTATTAATTTAAGCAGAAAGGTTGAAATGCTGTCAAGATCAAAGACTATTTGAATCTTTGTATCTTTAAGTTTTAAAAGATTTAATGGAGGGATTAGACATTAATCGCGCACTTTAATAACACTTATTTTTTAATCAAATACCATGTAAAATAATAAAACAAAAAGAACTCTCTAAGAGTATTTTTGAATTGAAAAAAAAGTGTATACAGAGAAAATATAATACATTTTGTTTTTTGTTTTGTTTTGTTTTGTTTTGTTTTTTTTTTTTTGGGGGGGGGGGGGTTATTGAAGTAGCATAAATAATACATACTATATAAAAATTTTATTGTGGCCACAGAATAAAACTAGAGCCAGAAAAAAAAAGTGTGACCTATTTTCATGTCTTTTGGTGTTTTAGTTTTGCCCAACCTAATTTGACATTATGGCATATGATCTGGAACTGGCCTATATCTACTTTTTAATATATACATGCTCCTGTTTTATATGAAGATGTATAAAATGGCATAAAAGTTATTAAAAAAATTAAAGCAGCATTGCATCAAGTGAAAACATGGATGGCCATTTCCTTGTAATATATGATGTACATGTGTATTGAACTTATTAACATTTCATAGTGATGTCAATCATGTAGATTTCATATGAGATTTTGAGAACCATAGTACACATGGTATACAGGGTTCTCCACATTTGAAAATTTAACCATGGAGCAAGCTGCACGAAGACAAAATGTAGCCAAAAACACTAATGCAATTGCATCTTAAACTTCCTAATCTTCATTAATCAATGATTGGTTTTACAATTTTTAAACTTACCCAAATCTTGCAACACAAAACAATGGAATAACTAACACTTTTTAAAGTTAAAAAAAATGATTAAATTGAAAAAGAATTATCCTGTATCTTACTTCACAAATGTACCAACATTTGCCAAAAACTGTAGTAATCTTCTGAAGGAACTTACAGGGAAAAAGTTGATACAGGTAGCCAGTTACCATGGCATAGATTAATAATTATAAGAATTTTAGCCTGTTGTATGAACTGTTTTGCTTCAATATGACTATAAAAACTGATGAATGGGTAGTGATTTTTTAAGTTAACACACAAGTTTAAGAACATTTGGACAAGTGTCCTTTTTTTCTAAACATTTTATTTTTCTAGATATTGCATTCATCCAGTTTTGTTTACTACTACACGTGGTCAGAGCTAAAAATAGCACCACGCGACATTTCATAACAACGGGAAGTAACTCTAAAACTAAGAATGCGATTGAGACGCAGGCCCTTTGCAGATAATAATAAAAGTTAAAGCTTAAAAAACAGAGCATGGGAAATTGATTAAATACGGAGGAATATGAAAATTTTACAGAGTATTTTTTTCTGGCACAGAAACTTGAATCGCAAGCATGAAGATTATTGTGCCTTATTGTGTAATCTTTTATAAACCCGTTATAAATCTAATCATGTAGTGAACATTTTGAAGTTCCCAAAAATTATTTACAAGTGTACAGGATAATTAACTCTCAATATATAGATCATCTGATTGACTCTCCATTGATTTTCACACTTCACAGCATAGTCGCTGATAACAACGTTAAGCACAGTCCGCTTTCCTTCGAGGCATGCCAGGTGCACAGCAGTCGTAGTATAAACACAATTAACTACTCAAGTCATTAAAATAAAGTAGGTGTCAGGACTGAAATGTAATAAAATTTAATCATGGCGGATGCCAATTTTAACCATGGCGCAGCTTGTTTAACCATGCCGCACATAAATTTAACCATGGCGGGCAGCCATGGTAAAACCCCTTGTGAAGAACCCTAGGTATACATCCTGTAGAAATATTTTTTAAAATCTTTGTTAGTCTGTCTGTCCACAAATTATCCTTGATTATAAAAATAAATGTAAGACAAAGTTTTTTCATTCTCATAGCGGATATTTCATTCTAAGTATAGTAAAAAGTCAAAATGAACTTTGTAGTCACCAGGAGCATTGCAGTTCCCTCATATTTGTCTGTTTTAAGTAATTTTAGTATTGCCCAAAGAAAATAAACTTACGACACAAATTCAGCGACCACCTCTCCTGTTATAGAATCATACAGGGAATGTGAGATTTCCATTAGCTTATCCACATCACGCTTTGCTTCCTGTCCAATCTCTAAGCACATGTTGTCAATGACCTCCCAGAATAGAAACTTGGCAGTTTCCTTCACTTCCTGAAAAAATTATAAGAATGAAACTTTATTCATGGCACATCTAAATGTAATAAGCTTTAGGCTGAACAGCAGTACTAAGTTGCCTCATACAAACTTTTTTACATACAGTTACCCCCTTAAAAAACGAAAGCATATACATGTATGGCATTTTTCTTCAGGAAATAGTATTACACAACAATGTTTAGTAAACACATAATACAATATCATATGACATTTACCTCATTTGTGTAAGTAACCTTGACTTTTGGAGCAATAGAAGGTTGTGGAGCAGCCATTTTATCTGTAGACACAGATACATGATCAGGAACATTGTATCCTTTGATTGCATCCTTCCTTGGAGAATCCACAAAATCTGAAAATAAACATGCTGATCGTAGTGATACTTTTATCATTTACATTTTCTTACATTTAACTTTACCCATTCAGTTCTTTTGAAAATTAAAATTTTAGTTGTTCAGATCTAGATCTTGTCTTTGCCTCTGTTGTTCAAACACAAACCTGAATCTTTGACAATGATCTGCCCAACAAATTTCCCGTTGTTATCAAAGCTGTTCTCTGGTTCTGGTAGAGAGTAAGCTGGTAATGGTCCTCCATAGATTGCCTAGATACAACAAATACAGGTATACTTCTTGAGCTAGCACAGGTATTCCAGAAGGGGGAAAAATACTCTTGAGAATACTATAATAACAGCAAGGCCATGTTAGTCATATGTAATAAACTATCTTCATGTTGATTTCTGATGTTACGTTACCTCATTATGGGGGTAAAAATGTTTTTGGGAAATAAGGAAGAAATCTCTTTAATAAAATAAGCCTGTGGGCCAAAACTCTTGCCTAGATCACTTTGGCTCTGCTGTTCAAAACCTTTTTTTAAACTTTTATCACATATCATGGCCCACCATAGCATTGGGGTCATGATTTAATCATATTTGAATTTACACTATCCAAGAATGCTTCCTGTGAATATGAATAATCACAAACTTGCTGTCCTTGAGAATATTTTTCTTATACACTCTGTATGTTTCAAAGTAAAACTTTGATTCCTACCAGTGGGCACATCCTACCCCAGCCAGTCATGATCTAAATAATTTAAAATCTAAATTTCTTCTGGAAGCCTTCAAATAAGTTTTACAGCTTACTCCACTTATATTGAACTTGCTTATTTTGAAATTTCGCTTATTTTGAAATGAAAATAAATCCCCAGTTTTTGCCTCTTATATTCTTTGCATTAAAATAACGGTTATATTGAAATCGGTTATATTGAAGTTTTGCTTATATTGAAGCCACTAATTGGTCCCCAAAGGTGATAATGAGTTGTTTTCATAACGGTTATATTGAAGTACTCCCTGGCGGCTGTCGTTACAGTTGGCAACAGAAATTATGCCTGACTGACCAGTTGATATAAAAGATGTGAATAATTAAATTTTCACCTTATGTGTTTTTATACTGCATGCTCTTGCGAAATAAAATTATTCACTGTTAAATTCTTTGTTTCCACGTATATAATATTGATATATTGAGGCTAAATGTAATATAGTAGTCCTCACAGATCTAGAAAAGAAACCTTAACTTTGAAATTAAATACGTTAATGGCTATTGATAAGTCATAACTCTAAAAAGCTGAGGGATCAATCCGAGTACACTTCCGATGAAATACAAGCAGCGTTCGACAGTACTCAACCGTTCAAAACCAGTGATTTTTCTCCAAAACGTAAATAAAAGTGATCGTGGAATAATAATGAGGTTGAAGCTTGTTTTTTGAATGTAACAGAAAGAAGTAATTTTATTTCAACTTTCAAGGACTTATATTCTATGTAATATGTTTACTGTTAAAGATAAAAGATGACAAAATTAATTTGTTTGGGTTTGTTCTTCTTTACTTTATATCGGGATTGAACTTATAAAATGGCAGCATCACGGTTTCGCTTATACAGTGCTCCAAGTTGCGACTAAAATGGCTGCATTTGCGACCAAAAAATTGATTTTGCGACTAGAAATGAAAACACACTCGCATTTTCGCGACTGAGAAAATTTGGGGTGGAAACGTCCAATTTTTAAGATCGGGATCGAGATTTCATTTGTAAAGATTCTCTATCAAGAAAATGTTTGAAGACATATACTTAAGGTAGCTAAACACAGTTTCGTATAAAATCCAGGGGGTTTTTCCCAGAGAGAAGCATGCTGGGTAGGGATTTTCCTGCTATTTATAGGAGTCTAGATGAAAACTGCATCTTTTTTGTTTTTATTCGCATAAAGTAGAGTCTTATCTCAATATTTAAAGAAAAAAATGCGCATTCATTTTTAGAAAAAAAAAAATTGTGAGACTTTTTAATAGGGGGAGATAACTCCCAAAACATCCAGTTTTCACATGTGCAGAATTGCATGAGTCAATTAGCAGGTAATGTAGCTCTTTCAAGAGGTGGAAAATGTACCCTGAAAGCACACTAAAAGAAAACCTTAGGACTTGTTCTGTGAAATGCATGCAACTTATTTTGTCTGATTTTTTCTGTTTTTGTTGAGCAGGGGGGTTAAAAATGCATAGGTGCACTGAAAATGGATGGGTAAACAACCCAATATCCCCCTTATTTCAGGTGTCAAATACCCCCTAGTAGTAATTGATGAATGTATTATAGTTGGATATTTACAAAATTCACAATTTTATCTTTCCATTGATATGCAGAAGTCTATGTAACAAGCCTCCATTTTATTTTTTTATAGGGGTCAGTTTTGCATGTCCCTCACCAAGTAACGTCCTGATAACGTCATACATAAAACTGTGTTTTGCACCCTTAAGGAGTAGCATTTGATGACATTTCCCACATTTATTTGCCTGTAAGTTCATAGAAAATTGCTTTATTTCTTTTAAATTATGTAGTAATCCATACAATATAATCTCAGGTTGACACTGTGTAAGGCATAATGCCTATTAGATACATGTTCCATAGAATTTATACATATGATAAGGATTCAGGGGCTAAAGTTGTTATTTTACATTATGACGCAACAGCATTGTGACATCAAAGTGTGACGTCATGTCAAAAATGGAAGCTTCGCAAGGTCATGACCTTCAATTTAATTGATCGCAAATGAGAATATGTATCTTCTGTATAGATATACATGTGACATAGACCTATTGAGTATCTAGTTAGGGTGACACCATCCAGATGTTTTAGGCAATCTTCTGATTTAAGACAGTGACTATTTCCAATTAGAACCCCCCCCCCCTTGTTTATACAGAAACTAGCAATATCTGTAAAAATTGTTTGGCAGCTTTTCAAAAAAATTATAATGTAACATTTTATTGATATTCAAATACTGTATATTTCATACTTTGTGTTTTTTAAATTGAAGAAAAATAAAATTATTGTGTGAGCTGATTCGGTTAGGTTTGAATTTCTCTTCGAAGTCCTGTTTTATGCGTCGACTAATGTCGTAGACATGTAATACTTAATTTACAATAACTTGCCCATTTCTGGACCAAATTCAACAATTTATGCACCAAAATGTTTGGAATTCTGTCCTCTTTGCACCTAAATACAAAAAAGTGAATTGCAAAAAAAAATTATTTCCTTTAAGGTAGCTAAACACAGTTTCGTATAAAATCCAGGGGGTTTTTCCCAGAGAGAAGCATGCTGGGAAGGGATTTTCCTGCTATTTATAGGAGTCTAGATGAAAACTGCATCTTTTTTGTTTTTATTCGCATAAAGTAGAGTCTTATCTCAATATTTAAAGAAAAAAATGCGCATTCATTTTTAGAAAAAAAAAATTGTGAGACTTTTTAATAGGGGGAGATAACTCCCAAAACATCCAGTTTTCACATGTGCAGAATTGCATGAGTCAATTAGCAGGTAATGTAGCTCTTTCAAGAGGTGGAAAATGTACCCTGAAAGCACACTAAAAGAAAACCTTAGGACTTGTTCTGTGAAATGCATGCAACTTATTTTGTCTGATTTTTTCTGTTTTTGTTGAGCAGGGGGGTTAAAAATGCATAGGTGCACTGAAAATGGATGGGTAAACAACCCAATATCCCCCTTATTTCAGGTGTCAAATACCCCCTAGTAGTAATTGATGAATGTATTATAGTTGGATATTTACAAAATTCACAATTTTATCTTTCCATTGATATGCAGAAGTCTATGTAACAAGCCTCCATTTTATTTTTTTATAGGGGTCAGTTTTGCATGTCCCTCACCAAGTAACGTCCTGATAACGTCATACATAAAACTGTGTTTTGCACCCTAAATACACTTTACAAAGTGTTGCATGGACTTAGATCACGTAATGTTATGACAACATGGCATGCTGTACGAAGTTTGATAGAACCTGAACCAGAGACGTGGACAAATAATGTTCCTGATAGAATGGCATCGAAACTTCGTACACTTTATAAGATCCGACCTTGTTATTGAAGCATTTAATCAATTGCTTGCATATCACAATGAATCATGATTGTATTATCATGCTAATAAACTGTTTTGGCGGCATTTATAATGACTGTGTAATGGGTAAGGTACGTAGTAGTAAGTAAACATGACAAACAGCAGGCAAAGTCCTGTCTCAACAGCTGTCAAGCTTGTATTTTCATTTGATAAAATTTTATTTCTGTAATCAGATTACTTGTGTTCTTCTGTACAACCATAAGGGTACATGTATTCAATAAAAATATTTCATTCAACCTAGCAAATTTTTATAGTCACAGTAATAAGTAATCTATGATATAATAAAGACATAATACATATCCTTATTTCAATTATAAAGTTTATTCACAAAATGTATTTTTTTTATGGCGAGTGAAATATTTGATTATGGCGACTAGAAATTCTGAAATGGCGACCAAAAAAATTTTTAGGTCGCCATTTTGCGACCTGAGAGCAAGTGTGACTTGGAGCACTGTTATATTGAATTACGGATATACTGAAATAATTTGCATGGTCCCTTGAATTTCAATATATCCGGAGTAGGCTGTATCTTGTTTTTTAGTGATTCTCAGGAAAGTTTTTAAATTTTTTTATGCATTCCAATGTTTATGTCGAAAATGTAAGAAGTTTAGAAACAAGGGACAGAAAGACATAGTTACGGAAGCTGGACAATAGATGATCATTAAACTTGCTTTTTAGCTCACTTGATCTTTTCGACTCAAGAAAGCCAAAGAGCAAAGTTAATGTGAATCAAACAAGTGTTGTGGCAAAAGGGTAAGCAAGAAAAAAAAATCTTGTGATATAAGTGAAGTTGTATCCTTGTCAGGTCATGAGACTCATGAAAGCAAGACATACATGCATATGAAATGCACTGTTTCAAAGTCTTGCAAAAGTGACACAAAAAAGGATTCTCGAAAATAAAGATGTCATACCTCCCCAATAGATGTGCTGAGTTTTCTTTCTATGAGAGCTGATCGCCGTGGGCACCAGTTTTCTTCCGGTTCTATAAATGTTGACTTGTCCAGTGTCACACAGTTGTCCACTGTGGTCAGTCCAAAGAACTGACAGAACTGGGCAGCCTCGTTCTGGTCATCAAAACTCAGGGTCCTCACTAAATCCTCCAAAGGTAACTGAAATAGCAAAAAAAAAACAAGAGATGTTTGTAAAACACTTATGCCCCCTCCCCCCAAATTAGAATTTTTCTAAGTCCAAAAGGGCATAACTCTTTCTAAAATGGTGCGATCCTACCCAAAACATTTCTTGACCTAGATATTCAGCTGAAAAATCTGTATACTTAAAATTTCATTTCAATATGTGCAACCTCTGCAAAAAAAAAAATGAATGGAAACAACAATTAAGTGGAATTTTTCTAAGTCCAAGGGGCATAACTCTAACAAAAAGGATGCAATGGTACCCAAAACAGAACTTGACCTAGATATTTATCTGATATATCTGTATACAAAATTTCATTACAATATGTGCAACCTCTGCAAAGAAAATGAACGGAAACTGCAAATAAGTGGAATTTTTCTAAGTCCAAGGGGCATAACTCTAACAAAAAGGATGCAATCATACCCAAAATAGAACTAGACTAAGGTATTTATCTGAAAAATCTGTATACTAAATTTCATTTCAATATGTGCCACCTCTGCAAAGAAAATGAACGGAAACTGCAAATAAGTGGAATTTTTCCGAGTCCAAGGGGCATAACTCTAAAAAAATTGGTGCGACTGTACCAAAACAGAACTTGACCTAGATATTCAACTCATAAATCTGTATACTAAATTTCATTTCAATTTGTGCAACCCCTGCGAAGAAAATTGAACGGAAACTGCAAATAAATGGAATTTTTCTAAGTCCAAGGGGCATAACTCTGTCAAAAATGGTGTGATCTTACCCAAAAAAGAACTTGACCTAGATATTTACCTGATAAACCTATATACCAAATTTCATTTCAGTATGTGCAACGGTTGTGAAGAAAATGAACGGAAACTAAATGGACCGACAGACCGACCGACCGACAGACCGACCGACAGCAGCAAAGCAATATGCCCTCCCTTCTTCGAAGGGGGGCATAAAAAAGTTGTATGAACCTCGAAAGTCTATCTTTATTTTAAGAAATATTGTATGTGTACATAAATTGGCGTATTTAAAATTCAGCGGAATCAATGGATATGGAGTAGTTGGGGTAATCATGAATTAGTACTACACATGTTCGTGCTGCATTCTATTCATAAATCATTTCTTAGCGGTATTCATTATTTACCGCATCATTGTCTGCGCCAAAGCCCTTAAAATATGAAGCCCACTATTTTAAGTACACATACAGTACTGTAATTATTTCTTAAACAGTGTTTTGTTAAGCAGTCTCTATTTCATTTTAATAACTGTGTTAGAAGTGTGCATACAATACGACTTCATGGTGAGTTCTACCATGATTATTGATGAGATCAAAGAAATGCTACAGACTTTATTCTCCAATAACTAACGAATGACATAAAAAAATTATCAGATCAGAAACACATGTCAAACCTGTACAGTTGAAATAAATATTACACTGTAGAATCTAATTATCACATATCACCGTGTCGTTTAATGCAATTTCCAAATGCCTCATGCCTTGGCTTTTATATTTCAGACATTTCTGGACCTTGTAGGTTATCCTGCAACATTCACGATAACACAGACTTTATTTCTTAAACTAACTGGTTTGCAAGCATCAAATTTTACCTGCACTCCCTTGCGATGTGCCTTCACCAGGATATATAATGCTTTCTTCCTAACTTGAGTGAAATATCTGCAATAAAGAAATTATAGTCTTTTCCAAAGAAATTTCTATGATTGTGACTAACCCTACAACACTATTTACGTTAATTTAACATACACTATTATGTTATCAATATTACATTCTTATACTATGCCAAATAAACAGGCAAATTATTCTTAGACTATTTCAGGCCCAAGAGAGCTCTTAAAACAATTGCAGGGAATGTAGTAACGGAATATGTTAGGAACTCATGGATAACGATACCAGTATTTTGAAATTGACAGGTTAGAAATACAGACATACACACCTGCAACTTTCAACCATGCAAGCTTTTCCAGTGTTCAATATACGCACTAATACTTTGGATAATAAATACTGTAGCTCTCTACAAATAGATAAACTTACCTGTGTAGAATACAGGAGCAGAGAAAAGACCCCTCCCTGACAAGACGGAAGAACCTGACATAGTTATTACTGTTGAGGGCTGCGTAAACTTTGAGGGCGTAGTTAATAAAAGTCGAGCTCCGAACTTCTGGTCTTAACTGCTGGGTCTCTCTGAAAATGTGAAACACACAATGAAAATTACAAGTAACAAAATTAAAAATAACAGCCTGTAGCCTACTTGTAAATATTTAATAAAGGTAGAACAACTTTGTAATAAAGCATGTATTGTATTTCAAAATTCACACATTTTGATCAGAATCTAGGATGGTGATAGAGTGGTGAGAATCTCTTTTAAGAGTTACTTGTATCAGCTAAGTAGTAGTTACCCCATATCATACTGTTGGTTATGTGTAGATACCAAATGGGCGTGGTCATAATGACACGAGGGAGCATAGCTCCCGAGTTGTCATTATGACCACGCCCATCGGGTATCTACACATAATCAACAGTGTGATATGGGGTAAATGACTTGTACCATAGTTTTCAAAAATCATTCATATGTAAGTCAGCTTAGGAATCGGTCGGACTGGTTCACGTGATTGAAACATTAAGTGTTTGGTTTCAAAGATGCATTTGGATTTTATGATTTTACGCTCCTTTGTGTCCTTCTGACCACGTCCATCGAAAATAGGGTAAGTGATTTGTATACAATACTTTTCAAATTTTGCCCTATACTCGGCACTCAGGGACATTGAGTAGTGAGAGATCTTCTTCCTGTCAACACCCTCTGCGACACAGGACCTTTGTTTATACTTTATAGGTCTCCATGTCCCACAATGGGATTCAACTCCTTACTTCGTGACTCTAGGGCAGGCGCTTTAACCACTGGGCCACGCAAACGACATAAAAATTAAACATATCTAGGCCCGTTTAAAAAAGTTTGATTTATGTAATTGAAAAAATAACGAGTTTGGTTTCAATCATATATGTTAATTTGATATGATTTTTTTCTCTCGTACATTACAATCGTCAAAATTACTTACTAGTACGTAAAATTTATCATGAACTTGGTTTAACTAACTTAAATTTTTGTAAACCTGATACGAACTTTGCTGTGTATAATGGTACGTTGATTGAAATGTTTGTTTGGGGTTATATGTATATTTCAATTTAATGAAAATTAGATCTTTGATCGGCTAGATCCGCAATCGAAAAGGTTATTTAAGTACATGTACAGTAGTGTACACTTGTTTTTACGTCAAGTATGTACCGTGTTTCCTTTAATTGTTGGTTATCAAAAGAACGATATATTGGAATCTGCTTAGCTAACGTCACCCTGGTCAATACACTATTTTAAAAAATGTTTAAAATTAAATCAAGCGATTTCTGAAGTTTTTTCTTCACTTTTAACTAAAGTTAAAGTATTAATGGCCGTTTTTAACTGTTATTTATTACAAAATGCTGTATACTATTGAAAATTTCTACTCCTTTTTACTCTCCTAAAGTTGGTATAAAAAGCCTGTATGGTTGTTTCATTTAAAAATCGTGCGTGATCGTTTTATTAATAGTTCTTTTGTCCCAACTCGATGGGCAGAGTTTTAGAAAAGTGTGGGTTATGTACAGAAAACCCACACTTTTAACAAAAGAGATCACACCTAACTATGGTACAAGTACATGTATGTAGCATTAACAGAAAGTACATACAGCATTCACATTAATTTTGCTCCATGAGATATCATTAATTTTGCCCTGTGAGATATCAAGTAATATTGACCTGAGAATATCGCCCTCGTTGAGGTTCATCAGCACCATATAACACCTCATCTCCGCCTCATTGACACAGAACACTTGTTTCTTCTCCAGATCTGAGTAATTCTCCTTCAGAGTCTGCAGACACTTGGTCATGTTCTCGTTGTTAATCTTGTCATCAAATGAATGCATGTCCTCCTCACAGAGTCGCTCCGCACAGAATATATGGAAACGGACACACTTCTCTAACAGTTCCACACTCTCCACGTTACAGAACTGTTGCTGAGTGATCTCCTACAATGTGTATTTATGACTGGAACTTTACTTCATACAAGTAATTCAAATGGAGAAAGAAATGTTCTTCTTTTGCTTCATATATATCTATATATATATATATATATATATATATATATATATATATATATATATATATATATCTCCCTATATTTATTATCTCCATTGTGAATTACATCACGACCATCAGAGCCCAGCAAGATTGAAGGACCCTAATAGATATATATCTTTTACTGCCTTACCTTCAGCTGTTTGCTAAATATAAAAGTAAATTGATATTTTGCATACCTTACGAATTCCTCGGGTCCTATTCCAAAGGAAATCAAACCAGTCCCCCCACTTGCCGTCTTCACCCCGGTCAGCGATCTCACTCAGTAAGTAGGTCATTGTCAAGGTCAGGGTGGGAAGGGTCCTCAATTCATACGGCAATGGTTCCTCCTGTTTAACAAAAATATCTTAAATATTTTAAATGTGTCAACTGGCAAGAAAATACACAAGAATAATGTCAATTTATCCATACATTAATTATTGAGATTGAACCAATACAAGTGTAGTGTATAGAGTACATGTAAATGCATGTTTTTATAACTATCAGCATGTTCAGAAGAAATGTAATGTAAACATGCATAGATTCTTACCAGAACGACATTACTACATGTATAAAATTTAAAGAATATACATTTATAGCATGATAGTGAGGGAGACATGAAGATTTATTCACCAATGAAAAATCATATTGCCCAAGGGGAATTTAATTTTTCATGGGTGAAGAAATCTTCATGTCTCCCGAACATTCATGCAATATTAAATTTGTTTATTATACCAAATCAAGTGCAATGTAGGAAATATAAAGAATTCCTTATATGCATATAACGAATTACGGGTATAGCAATTTTTTAGAACAGTAATTTCATAGGACCCAGTGTCTTCATTAAAACCAAGTTTTTCTGAATTACTGAATCAGACCTGATCAGCTGAGGATCTGCTGTACTCCTTCACAGCCAATGCATGGTTCACCAGGGGATTACCAGACTGAAAAAAGAGGAATTATACAACAGGACGTATGGAGAATAAGAAAATAAAAATAAAATCTTTATGTAATTATTATAATTGGGACCATATCTTTACTTTCAGAGATCAGGAACTTACAGAGATCATAAAGTAGTAAGTTTCAGCAATCAAGTGTGAAAAACTAAAATTTAACCCAGTTAAGGGGCAGTATCCCTCTGCTCCAAATTTCATGACCTTTTTTTAAAAATCCGGACATTGATTTTCAGCAACAACTATAGCATTAAATTCAAATGGAAAATAGTTTGAAGTATGAAGCGTTGCTTACATTTTCAGAAATGAATAATATGTCAAATCATGATGTGAAGAAAATTCGATATGGTAAATAGAAAGATTAATTATTTTTTATCTCACAATTAAATTATAAGTATGAGGTATATATAAAAATAATATTTACTCTCATACCTATCTAATTCCCATTAGAAAACATACTGAAGCACTGCTTATTAAATCAGAACAACAAATAGCTTTCTGTGCATGTAAAATAACATGCATCCATAAACAAGAGTTATCGTTCCATTATCTCCCTTGAAAATATTTTTTAATGAAACAAAAAATTAATTAAATGTTTATAAACAATACTGCATCTGAAATTTTTGTACAATTAAAAGAATTATACTTTAAGAGATAGAGATTTCTCAATTTACACCGTTTAAAGGAACTGAGTATAAATGTTTTAAGTAAACTATTATAAATCATTAATGAATATACTAGCAATAGAAACTAGACAATAGAAATGGCTTGAATGAGTTGACTGTAAAATGGTCCTCATGATTGAAACTTGTATACTTGGACATGACAATTCATTGAATTTCATTACAAAATGTCTGAAGAAAGTTATCTCTCTCAGGGCTCTCACACCACTCTTTGGGACTGGGGCCGGGGCCATTCAAATTGGGAAAATTATCGTCATTTTGGGAAAAGTTGGATAACACAAATTCATTAAAAAAAAATCCTCAAATTTTGCTTTTCTAGCATTTTATCATCAATGCTAACTCTGGTTTGAATAAACAGTTAAACAGAACAAACATGGGTACGTAGGCTATTTATGAAAGTACATTAGCTTTGTCATTACTATCTCTGAGTGTTGATATTTTCGGTTATATGTCTCACTGCGTGACAGTCGCTAGTCACATAGTCCCGAATTTCCTCGATCACATGGGCAACTTTGCTTACCAATACAGCGCGAGACTGAACATGCCGAAGCGCGGGTATGTTTCTAGGTGCAGCTTACTAATGTTTAAATGAAATGTCTATTTTTGAAACCTAAATGCTGGTTTTTGTCGAAACTACATAACAAGATACTCTGCACTCTTAGTTGTATACATTTTTGTAAAAACAATAACCTGGTTCCCCAAACCAGTTTACGAATGCATTTGGCGCGAACTAATAAAATAGTAATACAGTTTCACTTTCATTTGCTGTGTTTTGTTTGGGTTTTTTTTTTTTTTTGCGATTAGGTTTGATGGACTTTTATTTTTTAATTAATATTTTACTCTGGATGGAAATTGGGAAATTTACACCTTTCTTTTGGGAAAAAAGCTACTTTTTTGCATTGGGAACGGGGCCGTTGAACGGCCCCAATTTTAGAGAATCGAGAGCCCTGTCTCTTATCAGAAGAGTCACTCTCTTTTCAGAGGGATATTCCACCTTAAGGCCCATGACAACACTCACCCCTTCTGATGTCTGTAAAACCTCGTAAGGGTGAAGTCTGCGTTTCTCCTCTCTGTCGTATCTCTCCTTCTCAGGACACATATCTGTACACGTCCCTACAAATGCTCGGGCCGTAGCTAAGTCTGACTGCTTCTTAGGTCCTATTATAAAGATCTCATTATTATTTCCTTATCATTTGAGATGCTTACTCGCATCAAAATCACAATTGCTTCAAAAGTACATTGCAATGTCATTAAAAAATAATCAGCTAAGAAAATCTGGTTTTCATTTCGTTGAAAAATTAAATGAATGAAATAAGGCAAAATAAGATACATCCTCACCAAGCCGATTGACTTTGTCACGTAAATTAAGAATCTGAAGCTTGTCCGAGTTGCTTCTGGCAACAGAATTTCTCAGACTGATGACAGCTCCTGCAGAAAATAAGTCTCTGAGGTTATGATTTGCGTATTTTCTAGACAAATTCATGTGATGCATACGTGGAACACTATGAATCTGAATGTCAATATATTAGAACAACAAAATCAATTTCAATGATATTTGCTCAAACTTAACATAAAAATAATAGATATAAACAGATATTCTCTTTCTCTTTTTTTTTTTTTTTATAAAAGTTATAATTATTGTCTTTAATTCAGAAAAAAAACAGGGATTATAAAACCAACAGTCTCTGAGGAAACTTAATACTATAGTATGGATGACAAAAATATTTATTTAAATCCTTGTCTTATATGCCACAAAGCTTCCTTACAATGTAGTGTGAAGTTATAAGTACCTTTGTCTATTTTGGTTGGTATTGCTGGAGATGAACTTGATCCACTCGGAACAGGACTGGCGTGTCTACTGGCTCGCTCAGTAGACTGTGACTGCTGACCTCTGACCTCCTCAGAACGAGGCAGGATCTGTTGTTTCTGACCAATGATATCACTGGTACCAGACATACTGGCCAGTTCTTCATCCACTTCATTCCTCCTCCACTTAAATTGGCTAGCTCCAGCCTTACCTACACAAAAAAATATTGGTATGTTGTAAACAGTTATCACTAGTATTGTACGTTGCTAACATTAGTTTTATTATACTGTTATTAACGGTTATTTATTATATTGTTATTCTTTATTTAAATAAATATATTCGATTTCTTTTTCATTATGACTAAGACAACTGGTACATGTACAAATAAACTGAGCTGTAGGACTAAGCATTTTCTATTGACAATCCTTATTACATGGAATATGTTTTGTTGAAATCAGAACTGTGATTATCTCCCTTGACAACTTTTAATCCTGATGACCCTGACCTTGAGCTTGTCTCTTGACGGGACCTTGGGGGTCACTTGTGTCCTCCGTTGAGGATTTTCGCCCTAGCCCCTTTGCTGCGGGAGAAAATGAACTCCAGAATATCTCCATCCTCTTCTCCCCCTTCATTATGACTGCCCCCTTTCTCTTGGCCTCTAAAGCAGCTTCCTTTAAATATAGAAAAAGTTAAAATACAGAAAAAGTTAATTTCCAATATATATACAAAACAAACTTAATACAATATGTATGAAGGTACATTTTTTTTCATGTTAAATTTACATTATGTAAATGGTCACATACATGTACATGTATTTTTCAAAGAAATTTTTGCCGGTGCACTTATACTTTTATTGATGGATTGCCACTTTGTCTTAAATGTACTTTGCAATCGAGTCTTAAAGTACATTTAAGAGTTAAAGGGAAGAAATTATTCTACATAATTTTTGACCATAAGATTTAAAAAAAAAATTGGGATTTCATTGAATTATGACCAAATGGAAGAAAAACAAGAGGCCCAGGGGCCACATCGCTCACCTGAGCAAATCGGCTAGGAAAAAGCACAAATCAGAAAGGGGGGTGTTGAATTTAATAGTACTTGGGAATGCTTTCATATTAATACAGCATATGACTTTGCTGTTCTTGATAAAAAGATATTTTTAAAAACATTTTCTTCCTATATATAACTTCATAAAAATTTGAATTTGATTCCCCATTGTTTCCCACCCTACCCCAAAGGGCCATGATTTGAATAAATTTAAATCAGGATTTGAACAATAATAATTCTACACTACCCGTAAATGCTTCCATATTTAGTATCACTAATCATGGCTTTGCTTTTCTTGAGAAGAAGATTTTTAAAAATATATTTAATGTAAAACTTGGATCCCCCATTGTAACCCCACCCTACCCCTGGGGGTCATAATTTGAACAAACTAGAATCAACACTACCTGAGAATGATTCCATATAAATATCACTAATCATGGCTTTGAAGTACTTGAAAAGACAATCTTAAAAGATTTCCCTATCAAGTCCTATGTAAAACTTTGATCAGCCATTTTGGCCCCATCCTACCCCAGGGGGTCTTAATTTGAACAAACTTGAATGTACACTACCTGAGGATTATTCCACATGACTTTCTTCTTTCCTGGCCCAGTGGTTCTGGAGAAGAAGATTTTTAAAGATTTTCCCTTTATACTCCTATGTAAAACTTTGGTCGGCCATTGTGGCCCCACCCTACCCCCGGGGGTCATGATTTGGACAAACTTGAATCTACACTACCAGAGGATGCTTCCACATGAGTTTCATCTTTCCTGGCCCAGTGGTTCTTGAGAAGAAGATTTTTAAAGATTATCCCTGTATACTCCTATGTAAAACTTTGGTCGGCCATTGTGATCCCACCCTACCCCCGGGGGTCATGATTTGAACAAACTTGAATCTACACTACCTGAGGATGCTTCCACATGAGTTTCATCTTTCCTGGCCCAGTGGTTCTTGGGAAGAAGATTTTTTAAAAGATTTTCCCTATATACTCCTATGTAAAAATTTGGTCGGCCATGGTGGCCCCACCCTACCCCTGGGGGTCATGATTTGAACAAATTTGAATCTACACTACCAGAGGATGCTTCCACATGAGTTTCATCTTTCCTGGCCCAGTGGTTCTTGAGAAGAAGATTTTTTTAAAGATTTCCCTATATACTCCAATGTAAAACTTTGGTCGGCCATTGTGACCCCACCCTACCCCCGGGGGTCATGATTTGAACAAACTTGAATCTACACTACCTGAGGATGCTTCCACATGAGTTTCATCTTTCCTGGCCCCGGGATCATGAAGCATCTTAAGCTTAAGTCAAAAAATGCCTTAGATGCTGAATATTTTTAGAGGTCAAGCAGCCCAAAATGAAAATGCCTTCTGATTTTGTATCATCAGTCTGCTGTTGTATGCAAATTATGAGTTTCCTTTAACAAGTTTTAAAGATTTTATAGATAACTGAAATTTTGACTTAAGTCTAAGTCGGTTTCATGATCCCGGGGCCAGGCCTAGTGGTTCTTGAGAAGAAGATTTTTTTAAAATGCCATTAATTTTTCACTAATTCATCATTATCTCCCCTTGGAAGAGGGCGTGGCCCTTCATTTGAACAAACTTGAATCCTCTTTACCTAAGGATACTTTGTGGCAAGTTTGGCTGAAATTGGCCCAGTGGTTCTTGAGAAGAAGATGAAAATGTGAAAAGTTTACGACGACACTAACGATGACAGACGACGGACAAATTTTGATCAGAAAAGCTCACTTGAGCCTTCAGCTCAGGTGAGCTAAAAACATGAGTTTTACAGTATGTAAATCTTCCTAATTACAATAGGATATCTAGAATCTTTCCATATCTTTAAGATTTTTTTCTTGGTTCCATTGAGTATGAGATAATAAGGTTTGTCTGTATAATAAAATATTTTTCTTTAATAATACAGATCCTTAAATTTCTTTAAAACTTTAAACATAAAACTTTACATCAGCGTAATATTAGGCTCATATCTCACATGAGTTTTAAAATGAATGGTGGCCATTCCTTTGTCTGGCTTGGGTATAACACGGGTGACTTCCCCAAACTTAGTGAAATGTTGTCGCAGTTTCTGGCCACTGTTGAAGCGAGGAGGGACGTTCTTACAGATCAGACCTACTCTGTCCTCAACACTGGACAGTCTTCTGGTGGATAAAGCTCTTTTGGTTTGAGTTTCCTCCTCTAAAAATAGGACAAGATTTAGATAAGCAGTGTTTTCACTTTATTTCAGAGTAAAAGGTTAGAAATAAGTTGTAACAGGCTTTGGGCTGAGGTTTATGAACAAAATTTCTGTGGACCTTACAACAAATTTTTATTTCAAAGCGGCATTTTTGTCAGTTGAAGAGGTCAATTTTGCCGATAGTCAGTTCTTAGGGAAAACACTGGATAATAGGATTTGGACTTGGTGGTATCTAAAGTGATGTGCAATGGAAATTCTGGAACAGATTGACAAAACTGATTCACAGGAATATATTTGAAAAAATTCAAAATATTCCAAATATCAGCTAAAGAAATCAGCTAAAAAATGACAGGTATAATATAAGGTTTTTCCCACAATGAATAATAAATATGCAATGTCAACATGGTCAATAAATATAATTTCTTTGTGTGATATACTGTAAATTTAAGTACTTTTTTTCCGCATGGTATTAATTTACGCTATGTACACGGTCACAAATTTTCCACGGAAATTTGTCCAAGCGTTCTTAATATAAATATTAGGCATATAGTGACAGTCTAGGAAATCCGCGTAATTTTCTACCCGCGGAATAAACAAAAATTGAAAATCCACGGAATTGTGACCCCGTGGAAAAAAGTACGTCTACAGTATTTATAAGCATTTGGCTCAGGTCAGCAAAAATATATGTTAGAGCTCTAACAAAGGGGAAACGAAAATAATTACACAATATGTTGTTATTCAAGCTGGGCTACTTCAAAAATGAACACTGGTCCAAAATCATGAAGCAGTCTAAGACTTCATTAAAAAATTAAGTCACTGACAAAAATAAATATATTAATTTTAAATTAAGCACTTAGAAATTAGGGGGGAAACGGTTCACCACGGTATCGATTCACCGTGGTATTTTTTCTCAGTTCGATACACGGTACAAAATCTCTATTTTCGGTTCAGTTCAGGATCGTCATACAGTCAGGTTCCGCATAAGGCATAAAGATGCTCCTCCGTATAATTAGTTCAAAAATGTAAATTTTGTGGACTTAAAGTTTGTAAAATAGTTTTTAATCAGTTAATTTGATTTTTTCTATTCATTTTGCACATAAATTATTTGACTAGATCAAGTAAAAGGAAGCATAAAACAACAGTTGCATTCGTTTCCTTCTATCAATATGTGTTGTATCGAAAATAACAGAACCGAGACCAAATTTTATGATATGTATCGAACTGTAAAAGAGGCGAATCGTTTCACCCCTATTAAGAATTTAAGTATCATTAACAACATAAAATGAAAACTATTTTTGATCAAATTTCATCACTACTTGTTTCATCACTAGGTCTACCTGTTTCATCATGAGATCTAGCTGTTTCATCACTAGATCTACCTGTTTCATCACAAAATCTACCTGTTTCATCACTAGATCTAATTGTTTCATCACGAGATCTACCTGTTTCATCACTAGATTTACTAGTTTCATCACTAAATTTACCTGTTTCATCACTAGATTTGCCTGTTTCATCATGAGATTGACTTGTTTCATAACTAGATTTATCTGTTTCATCACTAGATTTACCTGTTTCATCACTAGATTTACCTGTTTCATCACTAGACCTCCTCTTCATTTTTCTCCCCTCCTCTCCAATGGAACCCCTCCTCCAGGTCATCTGTTGTGTACCAGCTATTGCCTTACCAAAAAGAGCTTGGGCACCACCTGCTAAAGATTAATAAGAATTACAAATTCACAACTAAAATCTAATTTTAATGAAAATTAATTCACTAAAGAATAGAAATATTCATCATTTAAAGATTAAATAATAAACAATGATTGGAAATATATTTTTTTTAAAAATTTATTTAAATTTTTTTTTTTTGAAAATGGTGCTTAATAAAACTTAATACATTCAAAATTATGTCAAAGATATGGTTCAATCATGATAATTTAGCAGCAGAATTTAGCAATTCCATCAAGTTTTCACAGATTCAGAAAAATGTACTGTCGAGTCTAGTCATACGAAAGCCTTGGTATATAATCAAAGTAAATTTTTAAGAAATAAATAACAAGTTTATAAACTTCAATGGGAATTGAAGTTTATAAACTTGTTATTTATTACTTATATATACATTTGAGACTGACAATTGAATATTTTCGAATTTAAATTACTGCACTAACCGTCCGTCGTTTGAAAAATGACGCAAGGTGTAAATCGGCTTGCATGGCGGTTACGCTTCGAATTCATTAGGCTAAGGAATCTATTTCGAAGGGAATATTTTGTGAAAGGCTACTTGTGATCAGTAATAGTGAACAGATTGTTGTCTGGGAATATTTTATTCGTGAAAAATGATAATCGATGCTGAAAAGACACAAGAAACACGTCCGAAGTTTGATGAAAAAAGTTGGAGGAATTTCGGTCGCTGGAAAGGGATGGATGGATCCGATGGATTGAGACACTTGTACGAGCCAGTTAATTTGCAAATTGATCAAAAACATTCCACGGTTTCAGTAACTAAAGGCATACTTATCGTATCGTAAAACACTGATAAACACGGAGACACTGGCGACAGCTTTACATTGAACTACGAAAACACCGAGGTGTTTGGCAGCTGTTCATGGCATGATTGCAAAGATATTTTCCAACAGATTTACACATTTATCGTGAGTAAAATTTAAAGATAAAATAAAAGTTTATCCTGAAAATTTAACCAAAGGTCTATCCAAAAAATAAGGATGAACATTAGAGACTGTGCAGCTGACAAAAGTGAAGAAAAATGTAAACAAACGCTAGGCTCCTACTAAAGTTTTCTCTATGTACACAGGTTGAATCGATAGACCCAAAACCGTATGAAATACTTATTTACATTTAAAATAAAATAGCTATCATTTTACTTGCTTATTTTATTCATTTTTATACATGAAAAGCAAGTATAGCAGGTCATTTTATAATTTATGTACCGGTAGATATTATTGCGCCGTGTGATTAGGTCACGTATTGACCTCTGACCTCTGACAAACTTCATACAGAATTGAAGATATTTTCTCTCTGTATGTTTATATAATGGAGAGATACCACAAATGTATATATACAACATTAAAGGATAGATATTCCAGAAATAGTATGTACCTTAAACCAATCCTAGAGAGACATTAAAACCAAGCCATTCTAAAACATTTTGTATGCTCTGCTAAAATACTTATATTACCTGGTTTTTGGACCACATTTGCTACTCTACTAAACAAATTCTTCTTGGATTTGGAGGTCACTGTTTCGACATCAACTAAAACATAACATTACGATGCAAAGTATTCCAACTGTAAATATACATTACATTACATATTAAGAATTTAGCTCAATTCTCCTCTTCACCTTTTCAGTACAATTTTTTTTAAAATTTTACATGCATAAAGAGCATTTACTTGAAATACCAGATAAAATTTGAAATAACCTCTAAATTACGATACAACTCACCATCTGTGGCAGCTGTGGACTGTATAGGCCGTGGGACTGACTCCTTAAGTATGAACACAGAAGCTGGTGGAGAAAGTTCTTTGATTTCCCCTGAAGATTTGCCACCCATTAACACAGGACCTGTATTACCCCCTTCTGAAGATCCTCCCGAACCGAAGGCGTTGCTGCTGGATTCCCCTCCCCCTACAAAGGAAGAGGTGGGGGCGGGCTTACCAAACAATTGCTGGGATTCCCCATGGGGCTTTTGGTGAAATAAGGCTGAAGTTCCTGATGCACTAGCTCCAAACAGATGGCCTGTTTGACTGGTTTGTGCAGTAGATTTGAAGAGGGCACCTCCTTGTGAAACAGAGTCAGCTTTCTGAGTGGATGTTCCAAATAATCCACTTTTTGTGGTGGGTGATCCACCAAATGCTACACTTTGATTGGAAGATGTTCCACCAAAAGGTGTACTTCCTGATCCAAATACCCCACTTCCTGTTGATAATTTTCCTGCATTACTGGCTGTGGATTTTGATCCTTGAAATGCAGAACTTGGATTGGATGATCCAGCATTTCCTGTGCTCTGTGATGGAAAAGCTGCAGTCAGACCAAAAAGTCCAGGTTTGGGATCTGAAGTAGTCCCTGTGGTTGAAATTGGCTGATTTCCATTTCCTTTTGTACTTGATGCTCCAAATGTAGATGCAGGTCCAAATAATGAACCTACACATAGACAAAGTTTCTTAATTTTATCACACCTCTTTTTTTAAATTTAAACTACATTATATGTAATTAGTTATCAATGAACATGATGAAATTTGCCATGATGTTTTTTAAAAATTCTTCTAACATCAAACTATAGGTTAATTACCTTTCAGTTTATAATAGATGATCATTCTTTTTATCATTGACAAAACAAAGAATGACAGAGCTTGCAGAATGTGTTTAACTTGATCTTCTTACCCGTTGTTTGTCCAAAACCTCCAGCTGTTCCAAATCCTGGTAAGGTGCTACTTGATGTGTTTGTCCCAAAGTTACTTCCAGCTTGCATTGTTGCACCGAAGCCAGCAGTCTTTCCAAAAGCCGACATAGAGGAGCCAGATGCACTTGTTGACCCCTCAGATCCAGATCCAAACCCCCCTACAGTTTTGG